AAGAGACCAGCGTGGAAGTTGCTGTGCTGTTTATGGTCTATCCTTGGAAGTTATATACAGTCACTGCTGCTGTATTCTTTTGGACACAGAGATTTGCTGTGATTTGGTGTGGAGTGGGCCTGAATATCAGAAGGTGGAATCATTTGGGACCATCTTGGAGGCTGGCTACCACAGAAGGCTTCTTTTCTATGCTGAGGTGTCATTTGAGTTGAGTTAAAGTATAAATAGGAGTCTTATCTGGCAGATGAGAAGACCATTAGAGACAAAGGAGTGGAGACAGAGTACAGTGCATTTGGGCAGCTGATGTAAGTAGGCCCACATGACTGGAGTGTAAAGTGGATGTAGGGGTGGTGAGAGGAGTTCAGGGAGGTGGGCAGGCACCAGACCATGTAGAACCTCGTAGTGTTAGAGAATGTGGCCCTTATTCTGGGGATGGTGGTGAGTTGTTGAAAGAGTTAAGCAGGAGCTGCTGGGATTCAATTTGCATTTAAAAAAGATAACTTTGGCAGATGGAAGCAGCTGAAAATAGGAGTCTGGAAAAGTGTCACTAGAGGCAGGAGTCAGCAGGTGGTTGTGGAGGCCGTGGCAGGGATGAGATTGCCCAGGAAGAGACTGGAGTGAGAAGAGCAAGGGGCAGAGGATGGGGCCCACATGCATTTTAGAGATTTGTTGAAGAATCGAAGCCAAAGAGAAAAACGAGGAAGAAACCAGGGTTTGTGTACCTGTACCTTGAAAAAAGCATCCGTATATTTTTTCATTCATTTTCAAAAAAAAGTTCATATTCCGTTGAGTATTTATAATCTGATTTTACTTTTTTTTAGCATCTGTAGTAGCCACATTAATCTATTACTTCAGCCTCTCGGACTCTCCAGATTTGCAGTTCCCTCTCTGGGTTAGTTGTTATCGATAGCTTCCAGTGTCCTCTTGTGTCCTCACAGAGAAAAAGTAGTCTTCAGGATCTCAGAGGCCTCTTAAAATAGATGTATGAGAGTACTTCAAAAAGTTCATGGCAAGGGCCGGCCCGGTGGCACACTGCTATAGTGCGCCGCTTGGGAAGCGTGGTGGCGCTCCCGCCGAGGGTTCGGATCCCACATACAGACCGGTTCCCGCTCACTGGCTGAGCGAGGCGCGGGAGCAACACCGAGGGTTGCGATCCCGTTGCCGGTCCCGGTCCGGTACGGGGGCGACACTGAGGGTTGCAATCCGTTGCCGGACACGGAAAAAAACAAAAAAAAAAAAAAAGGGAAAAAAAAGTTCATGGCAAGGGCCGGCCCGGTGGCACACTGCTATAGTGCGCCGCTTGGGAAGCGTGGTGGCGCTCCCGCCGAGGGTTCGGATCCCACATACAGACCGGTTCCCGCTCACTGGCTGAGCGAGGCGCGGGAGCAACACCGAGGGTTGCGATCCCGTTGCCGGTCCCGGTCCGGTACGGGGGCGACACTGAGGGTTGCAATCCGTTGCCGGACACGGAAAAAAACAAAAAAAAAAAAAAAGGGAAAAAAAAGTTCATGGCAAGGGCCGGCCCGGTGGCACACTGCTATAGTGCGCCGCTTGGGAAGCGTGGTGGCGCTCCCGCCGAGGGTTCGGATCCCACATACAGACCGGTTCCCGCTCACTGGCTGAGCGAGGCGCGGGAGCAACACCGAGGGTTGCGATCCCGTTGCCGGTCCCGGTCCGGTACGGGGGCGACACTGAGGGTTGCAATCCGTTGCCGGACACGGAAAAAGACAAAAAAAAAAAAAAAGGGAAAAAAAAGTTCATGGCAAGATTATATTATCTTTCAATTCTATTTTTTCACAAACTTTTTGAAGTACCCTCAGATTTTCTCTTGTTCTGCTTATAGTTTTCATGTTCCCTGGCAAATATCTGCAGAAAACCACTTATATCGTAGTAGCAACCCTGGTGTATTGTCAAGAAAAATAGGAGACAGGACAAGATAACAGGTCAAGTGGATGAAGGGCTCTATTCTTTTGTTCTATATCAAGAGGCCACAGGAAATGGACAGAACAGTTTCTGCCCCCCCATATACATTTTAACACATATGGATACATCTTACTACTATAAAATTTGTCTTACTACTCTAAATTGTAGTATTGGCAAACTAGGAAGAAATATACTGGAGGCACTGGCACTTTTGAATATGTACATTCAACTTTTAAAAATTCCTTCTAGAGCACCTCGAAGGTGCCTGTATTGATCCTGTTCAAAAGTTTCTGCCTGTTGATACCCCTGTGACAACAGGAGGGCAGCCATGGTGACGTAGCTAACTTCTTGGGCTGCTTCTGCCAACTCCCAGAAGGCTGCTTTCAGGAAGGTTTCCATAGTGACCAGAGGCAGGAAAAACCTGCCTGCCCAGCTTAGCAGTATCACATCCGGCTCCTGCTGGGAACTTGTGGGAGACTCTAGGGGAGCACCGGGGAGAAGTGGCGTGTGCACGCACACGCACACACACACACACACACTCGCAGGAAAAAATTACAGATCTGAGTCTTGCAGACTCTTTAAAATATATTCAGAATCTGATCATTGCTCAGTGTTCCCAGTGTAGCAAAGCTAACATCTTTTTTTTTTTTTTTGTCTTTTTTACTGACCGGTTTTTCACGACCGGCAACGGATCGCAACCCTCAGTGTCGCGCCCGTACCGGACCGGGACCGGCAACGGGATCGCAACCCTCGGTGTTGTGTCTGCACCTCGCTCAGCCAGTGAGCGGCTGGTCTGTATGTGGGATCCGAACCCTCGGCGGGAGTGCCACTGCGCTTCCCAAGCGGCGCACTGTAGCAGTGAGCCACCGGGCCGGCCCAGAACTGGGATTTTTATATGTACTTATTTTTCAACATATGCTTGAGTAAAAGGCCATGTTTCTCATAGTGCCCTTGAATGGTTGTTTGATTTTCCTCTTTTTTGCTTCTTTCTCACTCATCTAATCATTCTCACTTACCTATAATCCCTAACACCAGAATTCTGTGACAGATAAGATAGCACAGAAGAGGGCTGCTGTGGACCAGAACAACAGCGGTCACTGCTGACTCCTGTCACCTGAAAAATGGCAAAAGTAGGCTTTTCTTCAGGGCTGGGTCTAGGAAAGCATGATTTCAGAAACTAGAAGACAACTTGTCCTAAAATCTTTCAAACACATCTTCTTACTGTTAACTAATGTTTATACCATGGAGTCAGAGTCTTTCAATCCATGGTTACAAGTAAAAGGCTTATTATTCAGTAAAAGAAAGCTAACACCAAAAACATGCTGCATCTCTGTCGAAACTCAAGCGGGTAATAATAGATTCTTTCCAGTTTTAATGGGGTAGGAGGTTGGAAATAGGAAGATAGAAAGTTAGAATATACTCCTCAGTTGATGGCTTTTTCTTATTTTTTTAAATTGAGAATATAATTCATGTACCATAAAACTCACCGTTTTTAAAGTGTATAATTTAGTGGTTTTAGTATATTCACCATGTTGTGCAGCTGTCACCACTATCTAATTCTAGAACATTTTTGTCATCTCAAATAGCAGTTACTCTCCATTCCCCTCTTTCCAGCCCCTGGCAACTGCTAATCTACTTTCTGCCTGTATGTATTTGCTCTTTTGGACATTTCATTTAAATGGATTCATATAATATTCATCCTTTTTTGTCTGGCTTTCATTTAGCATAATGTTTTCTAGGTTCATCCATGTTGTAGCATGTGTCAGTACTTCCTTCCTTCCTTTTTATGGCTGAATAGTATTTTATTGTATGGATATTCCATATATTTTATATATCCATTCATCACTTGATGGACATTTGAACAGTTTTTACTTTTGGCTATAATGAATAATGCTGCTGTGAACATTCATTTACAAGTTTTTGTGTGGAGATATGTTTGCATTTCTTTTGGATATATACCTAGGAGTGGAATTGCTGGGTCACATGGTAATTCTGTGTTTAACCTTTCGAGGAACTGCAAACTTTTGTCCACAGCAGCTGCACCATTTTACATTCCCACCAGCAATGTGTGAGGACTCCAGTTTCTCCACAGTCTCGCCAGCACTTATCACTGTCTGTCTTTTGGATTATGGCCATCCTAGTGGGTGTGAGGTGGTGTCTCATTGTGGTTTTGGTTTGCATTTCTCTGATGGCTGGTGATGTTGAGCATCTATTTACCTGCTTATTGGCCATTTACATCTCTTCTTTGGAGAAATGTATATTCAGATCTTTTGCCCATATTTTAATTGAGCTATTTGTCTTCTCATTATTGAGTCCTCTTTTTTTTAGATGACAGAAAAAGGGAGGAGACAGGGATTTAAACAGTGATAGAGATTTAAATTAAATGGCAATTTGTAGCAGTTTCCCAGCTGTCAGGCTAGTGACGGTGTGGTAGAGCAGGCTGCAGTAGTGGGAGATGTCAGTGGAGGGAGAGTGGAAGCATTAACTCAAAAGCTGAGCCGTGCTCTGTCTAGATGACTCCTCAGATTCTGGCTCAGGGAAGCCTATTCATAGAGGTTTTGATGGTGGCTGGGTTTTTTCTTTTTCAAGAAATATTACCTGAGTATGGGGCATCTGGAAGTCTGTATGTATGATTCTTCTCCTTAATAAAATGGGAAGTGAGTGGACACTCCCCTTTGGTTCACAAAGCTTTTCAAAATGTCAATTTTGTAGCTTCTCAAAGTCAGACAAAATGTTCAGAATAGGAGGCTTTTTCTTTCGGATCCCCTGCCCCCTCTATTTCTTGTCCTCTTAAAAAATAAGGACTCAACAATAAAAAAGACAAGTAGTCCAGTTTATTTTTATTTTATTTATTTTTGGGGTGTCTGGCTGGTATGGGTATACGAAGGCTAAAAAGCCCAATTTAAAAATGGGCAAAGTGTGACTTTTTTCTTTCCTTGTTGAATAGTGGCCAGGACTTCCCTCCCCGCTGCATCTGGGCAAATCAGAGCAAAATCAGAGCATGGGTGGAAAGGCCTCACCTTTACAGGAGAGAGGGCACTCTAGAATGACTTTCTTCCCCTTTTCTCTCCTAACAGGGCAGATGTTTCTGGGCCAGATGAAGCCTGAGGAGCCGTCCAGCTCTAAGATAGGATAGTAAAACTCCTAAGTCCGGATCTGCAGAAGACTTGCCTGCCTCTCAGCACGATGTCAGGTAGAAGCAGGGCCTGGACTTGGGCCGTGAGGCTCTCCCTGAGGAGCCAGAGGGCTAGGAATTGGCTTGTTTTTCATGAAACACCTATCCAGATAAGAGAGGTGGAGAAATGGAAGGGAAGTTCTCCGGCTTCTGGCTGTCTGGGAAAGTTACTAAAACGTTCTTGTCAGCTCAGCTGTCCAGTTTTCCTCTCCCCCCAACTCCAGCCTGCAAATCCTCACCCCTACTTAGGTGGAGAAAGAGGCAAGAAGATGAAGTTTGGTTATGTTTTGTAACATGCTGCTATGCTTTCTTCCCCCCTCCTCAGAAATTTGCTAATTTCCAGGAGCTTTCTTCTATTCTCCCCCTTCCCCACCCATCCCACTTTAGATGGTCTAGTCCCTTTAATGCTGGCACTCTTTGAGGGGGAGGGGATATTCCAACTTGAATGTTGCCTCTGCATTTTCTTGATTATTCTCCTATTCCTGGTCTTTGATTTTAGGAAGCCACGTACCTTCTGCCAGTGGCCCCTTCTCAGCCCTGACTCCAAGCATATGGCCTCAGGAGATCCTGGTCAACTACATGCAGGTACAGCAGCTTGCCTAGCCAGCCATCAGCCTGCTGTACTCCCAGCTTGTGGCGTGAAGGGAGTGGGTGGCCAACTCCACCATGTTCACACAGGGTCATGGGGTCCCTGCCAAAGATGGCATCTTAGCTCCATGTGCCTGTTGAGTCAGTCATTAGGTTGGAGGACAAGTATTGTGGCACTATGCTCTCGGTATTATGGGGGCACAGAAATGCATAAAACACGTTTCTTTCCTTCATCTTATTGTCTTTGACTTCAGAGAAGAACAAAGAAAATGCTAGGAGAATACAGAGAAGGTGGTGACCCCTCTAGTTGAGTGGTGACCAGAGAAACTTTTCTCGAAGGGTAGCCTTTGATCTGAGCCTGGAAGGCTTGTAGAATTTTAGCAGGCAGCCATGTGGGTGGCATCTTTCAGAAACTGTGGTCCCAGACTGGGGGACAGATGACTAACTTTCTTCCTAATCTTGATTCTAGAAGGAGTCAGAGGAGCAACCGGAGTTCTACTACGATGAGTTCGGTTTCCGTGTGGACAAGGAAGGTAAAACTGGGCCCTTTGTGTGTAATCTTGCTCATGTCCTTGGGGATGACTCCAGCTCCCAGACTCACATTACACAGCACGTAACCTCTGAGCTCTGGATGTTTTACCCATTCCAGATTTAAGGATAGAGGTGTATCTGACGGTAAAGCTGTTATAAGTATAGGGAGATCTGATTTTTTTTTTAGATAAATTTTATTGATCTTTACCTGATAATAAAAGCAATAATGTTCATTGTAGAAGAGTTGAAAAGTACCAAAAAATATAAAGGTTAAAATAAAATTAACACATAATCCCACAACCTGAAGACATTTTAGTGTATTCCTTTCCCGATTTTGTGTGTGTGTATCTTTATATACTTTTAATAACTAAGATTATATCTTATACATATTATATCCTAACATTATACCATAAGCACTTTCCTATGTCAGTTAAGACCCCTTTAAAAACATATTTTTTAATGGCTGCATAATATCCTGTTATAATGGACTTGTCTTAATATTTTTATAACCATTTTTCGATAAGTGGACCTCTAGGCCATTTCCATTGTTTTCTACTATAAATAGATCTACTGGTTCCCAAGAGGGCTCTTAGGAAAGCCGTCTGCCAGTATGGCCTATCAATAGGCCAGAGCTAGAGCATTGTAACTGGGTGAAACGAATCATTTTCGGGTCACTCATCTTTCCAATTCCCACATAAGCTTCCCTTATTCTTCTAATTTGCAGGCAGATATTTGGAGGTTAAAAGCTGGGGTTGAGAGGGACACAAAGAACTTTCTAGTATGATGGGAATGGTCCTTGTCTCAATGATTGCTGGATTCTGAGCTTACCATCACACTGTGGAACTGCTACATCATGATGGGGACTGTATCTTTGTTGCTTATAGCAGAATACATGGAACTGGGTGATTTACAGAAAAAACAAAATTTACTGCTTACAGTTTCTGAGGCTGGGAAGTCCAAAGTCCAGGGAACAATCTGGTGAGAGCCTTGGTGGTGGTGACAGTGACAGCAGAGTATCACATTGTGAAAATGGTGGAGCAGAGAGAGAGAAAGACAGATTCTCCTCTTCTTTTAAAGCCCTCAGAACGATGCCCCTGACCACCATTTTTAATCCATCCACTACTGCACGGTCCTACAATCCAATCACTTCTTCAAGGCTCCACCTTTCAATTACCATGATAGGATTTCCCACCCTCTTAACAGTCACAGTGGAAGCTAAGTTTCTAATACGTAAAACTTGAGGGACACAATTCAAGCTTGCTTCAGTGAGTTTGGGGGGTGCATAATTCAATCCACTACAGGGACAATGTTTAGATATGGTTTATTGATACCAAAATTTACACTGAAAATTTGTGCATTTTACTATATGTGAAGTCATAACCCTTGACCCTCCCGTGAAGGAGGAAGTCTCCTTAGAGGAGGAGGCCCTTGACTAGAGACCAGAAGGAAGCAAGGGGGTGAGTGTAGCTGGGGAGGGGGATAATAGGTGCAAAGGCCCTGAGGTGGGAGTGGATTTGGTGGGGAAGAGCAGGAAGGACTTTGTCCCCAGAGTGGAAGGAGCAAGAAGGAAGAGTAGGAAGTGAGGGCAGGCCCAGGGGAGCAGATGATGGAGTCCTGGAAAGCCTTGGGCTTTGAGTCTGAGTGAGCTGGTGCCAACAGTAGTTCTGAGCAGAGTGACCTGATCTGACTTGCATCTTAGAAGGGTCACTCTGACTGCTGGGGAGAGGAGCCTTTGGGAGGCAAGGGTGTAGACAGGGAGGCCGCAAGAGGCTACCACGGAGATGCACACGCAGGGCAAGGGCTTGACTCAGGGCAAGGGCTTGGCCCAGGGCACCAGTCGGGTGGTAAGAAGTGGAGCAATCCTGCCATGTTTGCCAATGGACTGAATGTGGGGTCTAGGGGAGGGAGGGGCCACAGGTGACTCTGGGGTTTGGGCTTGAGCATCTGGAAGTTGGAGGTGTCGTTTCTGGATCTGGGAAGACTGCAGCAGGGGCAACTTTGGGGAGAAAGTGGAGAGCTCAGGTTTGTCTGTCATCAGGATGCCTGTTAATTGTGCAGCTGGAGCTGCGAGGAAGCTATTGGCAATGGGGATTGGGTTTCCGGGGAGGGGCTCAGCCTAGAGCCACAAAGTCCAGGGTCTCTTGAGAACAGAGCTTGGCGCTTGGGAGGACGTGCAGTGAGGAGCAGGTTTTCCTTCTTTCTCTGCTCACTGCTGCATCCCTTGGCTCTCTGCTGGCAGAAGGTGCTGAGCCTGGCTCCAGTCCGCTGATGAATGTCTGTCTGATGGAGGACCCTCCGCAGAGGCTGCGTTGGCAGGCCCACCTGGAGTTCACTCATAACCATGACGTTGGGGATCTCACTTGGGACAAGATTGCAGTCTCCCTACCACGCTCTGAGAAGCTGCGCTCCCTGGTGCTGGCTGGCATCCCACACAGTATGAGGCCGCAGGTGAGATGTTTACAGGGACCCACAGAGGGTCTGGAGAGCCCTGTGGCCCAATGATCAGGTGTCTCGAGAAAGACTAAGTACTTGCATGGCTCCTACCCTCAGCTGTGGATGCGGCTCTCTGGGGCCCTGCAGAAGAAGAGGAACTCCGAACTGTCCTACCGTGAGATTGTGAAGAACAGCTCCAATGATGAAACCATTGCTGCCAAACAGGTGAGACCAGGGCGGCCCAGGGGCCCTTCAGGAAGAGCTGCCTGGCCAGAGACCATGCCCCCACAGGAGGGATGCAGTCTTGTCTCAGCCCTATCACCCACAAACATGCATCTGGAGAAAACTTGCTCCCTCCAGGGTCCTCTATAGGCTGCAGAGAGAATTGTCTAAATGGTCACCAGTGCTGTGGAAGGACATGGAGGAGATGGGGTTCACAAGCCCAGGTCCCCAGGAGGTACAGCTGAGGATGTTAAATACAGATTCCAGGCTTCACGCCAGATGTTCTCATGTAGTAGGTCTGGCATGAAGTTCCCCAGGTTACTTGGGTGTACTCGGCTGCACACTAGCTGGGACCTAATCTTGAAGGGAAAAGGAGTGTAAGGAGTCCCCACTCCTGGGAGAGAAGTCTGCCTGGGGCTTGCCTCCCTCACAAGGTGTCACCAAGTCTGCAGCTATGTCTCACAGGGTCTTGTTTTTGTGGGTGTTGTCATGGCCGCCCACAGATTGAGAAAGACCTGCTCCGCACCATGCCCAGCAATGCCTGCTTCGCCAGCATGAACAGTGTCGGGGTGCCCCGCCTGCGCAGGGTCCTCCGAGCTCTGGCCTGGCTCTACCCAGAGATTGGCTACTGCCAGGGCACGGGCATGGTGAGTACAGCCCAGCAAGGGAGAAGAGTCGGTGTGCCCAGGGTCTTCTCCAGGCCCCTAATGGGCAGTAGGACAGGAGGTGGGGGTGGATGTGGGAGGCCGCGAGGAGGGCAGGGGCAGCTGCGTTTGTCGTGCAGGCAGAGCAGCCCAGGCCGACCAGCCTAAGGAAGATGTGCACACTCTGCACATGTACCCCAGAGAGGCTGTTTCTAATTAGTCACCCCTGAGGGGGCACCTTTTATAATTCACATGAAGGCCTGGGTAGATGCCCTTGTCCCCCTGCCCTGGTCAGGTGGCTGCCTGCCTCCTGCTCTTCCTGGAGGAGGAGGACACCTTCTGGATGATGTGCGCCATCATCGAGGACCTGCTCCCAGCCTCCTACTTCAGCACCACCCTGCTGGGCGTGCAGACTGACCAGCGGGTCCTGCGCCACCTCATCGTCCAGTACCTGCCTCGCCTGGACAAGCTGCTCCAAGAGCATGACATCGGTGAGGCCTGGCAGCCTTCCTCCTCTCTGGGGCCCCGGGATTCTGAGATGCTGGTTCCCATTCCACAGTTCTTTGGAAGCTATCTTCCCCCTGTCCCCCTCCTCCCCAGGCTGACCAGGGCCAGGCTGTTCCTGCTCCCGCTCCCAGCCCTAGCAGCTGGTGTCTGTGTTCACAGAGCTGTCCCTGATCACGCTGCACTGGTTCCTCACGGCTTTTGCCAGTGTGGTGCACATCAGGCTGCTGCTGCGGATCTGGGACCTGTTTTTCTACGAGGGGTCTCTGGTGCTGTTTCAGACCACGCTGGGCATGCTGCGCCTCAAGGTGCTTGTGGAGCCATGGCTGTCCCCCCGCCCAGGGCTACTCCACCCAGCGTCAGGCCCAGCCACCCTTCACCCCTCCTCTGGGTGGTCAAGGTGGGATCCAGGCCCTGAGTCCAGCAGTGGTTGGCAGAGGGGCAAGTCCTCCTTCCCTCTCTCTCCACTCCATCCAAGATTTAGCATGGGGTGGCCCGAGCACTGGTCTCTGCTGAGAGACCCAAGTGTGGGGTGGGGGATCTCCCTGGGCCCAAAAGGACCAGTCCCCAATGGCCGGGCCAAAGGAGCACAGGCCTGAGGATGATGATTGGGGTCAGCTCAGTGCCCAATGCCTGGAAGTGACAATGCCCCCCTGTCCTGCCCTTGTGTGGCCCAGGAGGAGGAGCTGATCCAGTCAGAGAACTCGGCCTCCATCTTCAACACGCTGTCGGATATCCCATCACAGATTGAGGACGCGGAGCTGCTGCTGCGGGAGGCCATGCGGCTGGCTGGCTCCCTCACGGATGTGGCCGTGGAGACCCAGCGCCGCAAACACCTGGCCTACCTCATTGCAGACCAGGGCCAGCTCCTGGGCACCAGTGCTGCCACCAGCCTCTCACAGGTGAACTATGATGGAGAGGCCCCACCTCGGCCCCCAGCGTAGGGTCCCTTGAGAAAGCTGAGTGAGCAGAGCTGCAGGGACCAGGCCCTCCCCCACCCCTCTAGCCCTCCTGGGGCTTCATGTCTAGGGGCTCGGACCCTTGCATGGTCTGGGAGGAGGATAGGTCCAGCTCTGAAGTGCTCATACTTTCCTGATCCTCAGAGCCAGCCGGCCTCAAAGGCCGTTTCTGATGAGATAGTGTGAGTGAAATGCCGGTGGGATGGCTTCCTCCTGGTGGTGAGTGCCCTGGGCTGCGGCTGACCTGCTCCCCTCCCACAGGTCGTGCGGCGCAGGAGCCAGCGCAGGAAGTCCGCCTTCACCTCCCTGCTCTTTGGTGAGGACTCGGCTGTAGTGGGCAGGCGGGCTCCATCCTCATGCACCACGTGAATGTGGCGCATCCTCTCCTCAGAGGGCCTGGGGGGAGGGGGGCTATGGTCGCATCGCTCTCTGGGCCTCCTAGGGGAGGATGACCTGGAGGCACTCAAGGCCAAGAACATCAAGCAGACAGAGCTGGTGGCCGACCTCCGGGAAGCCATCCTGCGCGTGGCGTGCCATTTCCAGTGCACAGACCCCAAAAACTGCAGCGTGGTGAGTTGCAGGCACCTTGGGCTCGTGCAAAACAGCTTGGACTTGGGGGCTCTCCTTCCCTGGTCCCATTCATGCTGCTGAGGCTGCTCTCCCTCAGTGGCCTTTCTGTCCCTGTCACTTCTGTTCACTATGCAGGAGCTGACACCAGACTACAGCATGGAGAGCCACCAACGGGACCACGAGAACTATGTGGCATGTTCACGCAGCCACCGACGCCGGGCCAAGGCCCTGCTGGACTTTGAGCGGCACGATGACGACGAGCTGGGCTTCCGCAAGAACGATATCATCACGGTGCGTGGCGCTCAGGCTGCTGCTGGGTCATGAGGCTGTGGCAGGTTATCTGACCCCTTGCCCAGCCCCTACCCCCTTTCCTGCCAAGAGCTTGCCTTTCTGAAACTGGCAGGGGGTCTTGGCCTGGCCCAGTTGCTGAGGATAAGATCAGACCGGGGTGTGGGGGAGACAGGTCCTGGGTGGCTGAGCTTTGGTTGCTGTGTTTCCTCCATGCAGATTATCTCACAGAAGGATGAGCACTGCTGGGTGGGGGAACTGAATGGCCTGAGAGGTGAGGTCTTTTTCTGCTCTTGAGTCAGGGAGTAGGAAGGAGGTTTGGGCAGCAATGCCCTATGACTGTGGGTTCCACCCAGCCCAGCCAGTGCTCTGTCCTCGTCCCCCTGGGAGAAAGTCAAGACAGCCTCCTGGCTGCTCCTCACAGGCCGGCTTCTCCCACAGGCTGGTTTCCAGCCAAGTTTGTGGAAGTCCTGGATGAACGGAGCAAGGAGGTAAGAGGGTGGGCAGGACGGGGCCTTTCCTGGGAGCCGCTCCTGCCTCGACCCCCAGCACGGCCGGCCCCCTCCTCGCCAGGGCCCGTTGTGGCAGTGGCTGTGAGGATGGGGGAGAGGGTAGCTGGCTACAGGCACCTTAGACCCATTCCTGCCATCAGTACTCCATTGCGGGGGACGACTCGGTGACAGAGGGGGTCACGGATCTCGTGCGAGGGACCCTCTGCCCAGCTCTTAAGGCCCTGTTTGAACATGGGCTGAAGAAGCCGTCCCTGCTTGGGGGTGCGTGCCACCCCTGGCTGTTTATCGAGGAAGTAAGTCAGGGCCCTGCAGAGGGGGCAGAAGGGGCGGGCAGGGTGGTGACATGTGCTCAGTTGGGCTTTGACCTGGCACCTCCCCTGTCCCTGCCTCACACTGTGTCCCGTCTTGTTCCCTGCAGGCAGCAGGCCGGGAGGTTGAGAGGGACTTCGACTCCGTGTATTCCCGCCTGGTGCTCTGTAAGACATACAGGTAACTGCCTGTGTGGGCATTCTGCCAGTGAGGTCGCCTGCCAGGGTGTGTGGGGAATGGTGGCTGGACCCAGTGCCCAGCACACCAGGGCAGCTCTGGGAGCTGTGGTCCTCCCTCAGGTTGGATGAAGATGGCAAAGTCCTGACCCCAGAGGAGCTGCTCTACCGGGTAAGTGGGGCCTGCCCTGCCAGACCCGGAGGCCTGGCCAGTGGAGGTGGCCAAGTGACAGCTGTGCCCTCTCCAGGCTGTGCAGTCTGTGAACGTGAGTCATAATGCAGTGCATGCACAGATGGACGTCAAACTCCGCTCCCTGATCTGCGTGGGGCTCAAGTGAGTGTAGAGAAGGGCTGGGGAAGGAGCTGGAAGAGCCTGGGGTGGGCTCATTCCAGCAGAGGAGGGATCCTCAAAGGGGACCCTGAAGGACAGAAAAGCTCCCTCAGGGACTCAAGGCCTTGTGGTGTGGGGGCTGCTGAGGGGGGCAGGTCGGAGGCATCTGCTGCTGCCCGCTCCCCATGGCCTTGTCCCCAGTGAGCAGGTGCTGCACCTGTGGCTGGAGGTGCTCTGCTCCAGCCTGCCGACCGTGGAGAAGTGGTACCAGCCCTGGTCCTTCCTGCGCAGCCCTGGCTGGGTCCAGATCAAGTGCGAACTCCGGTGAGGACCTTGGGGGGCTCCTGGGCAGGGCCAAAGCCAGCTCTGCAGGGCCCTGCAATTGGGGGATGAGGCTGGGCAGGCAGAGTTGGCTGAGCGTGATGAGCTTCCCCTTCTCCTTACTCCCCTCCAGCGTTCTCTGCTGCTTTGCTTTCAGCCTTTCCCAGGACTGGGAGCTCCCTGTCAAGAGAGAGGTGGGTGGCGCAGGCTGGTCTGTGGCCCACAGCCTGCCTTCCCAAGGGGGCTGCGGTGGGGTCTGCACAGGTGGAGCATCCCACACCGTTCCTAGGGTGGCTGAGGGGGGAGTCCAGGTGAGGATGGGAGTGTGACTCAGCTCCCAGAACTGCTCTGGCCCCTGCCACCTTGGGCTTATGACATGAGGCACTGTCCCTGTGTGCAGGAGGAGAAGCAGCCCCTGAAGGAGGGTGTTCAGGACATGCTGGTGAAGCACCACCTGTTTAGCTGGGACATAGACGGGTGACACTCTTCCTCCAGCTGCCCTGTCACACCCAGGCCTCCCTCAACCCATCAACTACCAAAGCAAGCCTCTCCCTTGAACAGGAAGAGCAGGCCTGCTGTGGGTCTGGGTGTGAGGGGACCCAGGCCCACCCCAAGCTGCAGGGTCCAGGGGAGAGAAACTCTAGAGCCCTGGCTGGGGTCCCATGATCAGGGTCCCTCACCCCAGGCTCCCCAGAGCATCACTGGTGGCAGGAGCAGAAGGTGGGCGCCAGCTCAGCCCCTTTCTCCTGAGTGCCTGGGGAGGGCTCTCCCCTGACAGGGTCCTTAAGGAAGCCCTGGGCCCCAACTACAGTTTGTACCGACCAAACACCTTATGAGGAGGTGAAGAGCCACATCTGTCAGTCTTTGCTCAGGAAAGGCAGGTGGGTGGCTAATGGCAGATGAAGGCTCCTTGGCCTCTTTGGTTTGTAAATAAAGTGTGTCTTTGAGAAAGTGCATCCCATCTTCTGTCCAGCCAGAGCCACAGGGCTGTATGTCCAAGGTTTTGCCCTTCCTGGAAGAGTCTGAAACACATAGCCTGGCTCCTTCATCCTGCAGGGGGGAGTGGAATTGGGGTAACTTGGGACGACCATGCCACCCACCCCTTCCCCAGATTGAATAGAGGGACTAACGAGCCAGTGTTTTGGTTTTTATTTTAAAAAGTTCACACAGCTTCCCCACCTTTGTCCCAGCACTGGTTTTGGTGATGCCATCCCTACTACCCTATGAGTGACTAGGCTAGGAGGCAGCCTCAGCTTCACAGCCACCAATAGGGTGTGGCTGGGCCTGAGGTCCCTCTTGTCCCAGGGCCACGTTGGCTGCAGTGAGGTGATGGGGAAGGAATGTGGGTGGGTGGAGGGCTCCTGCCAGATGGCCAGAAAACACCTCTGCCCTCGTGGCACTGATTGATAGGAGCCAGGAAGCAGGTGGGGCATAGGCCGTGGCGTCTACATGCCAAACACACGTGATGAGAGGGCCTGGGCAGCTGTACACCAGGCTGGGCACTGGACTGTGTGGCACACAGGCCAGGGTGACCCTGCATCAGCCTCCAGGAGCCATGGCCTCCAGGCCCTCTGTATGTGAGAATAGATGAGAACAGGGAGGGAGCTGTCCCCCCCACCCTGCAAAATAGATGTATACATATATGTATGTCAATATATAATATATAGAGGTATATACACCTGTACAGAAAATTTTTGCCATCAACCACTAAATGGCTACCCTACACCAAGACATTAAAATGGCAGGGAGGCCCCCACACCCCAGGAAGCCTTGGGACCCTGGGGTGGGCTGACACAGGGAACGGGGAGGTAGGGGCACAGGCTAGTTTCCTCCCTCACAGCAGAGGGAGAAGGAAGAGATTCATCCCTTGACCCATCTCAGTCCTGGGCCAGAAGAGGAGTCTCCTGCCTGGGCCTTGCCTGCTAGCCAAACTGCACCTCTTGACCTCAAAAAAGGAGGTCGAATTGAAATGGCCCTGGCCAGGCCTCCAAAACCCCGGTGTGAGTCCCAGAGCTAGGAGTAGGAGTCCCTCTGCTCCAGCCTCCCAGAGTAGGGAAGCAGCAGCGACTGTGATTGTCAAGACTCACAACCACATGGAGAGACCGAGTGAAGCAGGGAAGAGCCACGCTCACTGAAGTTCTGTGGCTCCCCAACTTCCAGCCCCTTCCCCAGTCTCTGCAGCCAGAGAGCTACAAGCAGGAATCCCAATGTAGCTGCAAGTCATGGCCATCGAGGAAGTCTGTGGAGAAGAGGCTGGGGGCTGTGGTGCTGAGGGGGGCCAAGCTCAGCACAGGCCCACCTGACGATAGCTCCAGCCAGTCCATGCTGTCCAGGTGGCCATCAGCCAGGTCCAGGCCCATGTTGCTGCTGGGCTCCGGGGCAAAGTGCAATTCTGAGGTGTCCATGGGTGAGGGGGGATGGTCCAGAATGGCAGAACTGCTCAGCATCTGGCTGTGGAGGTCGTCAATGAGGGAAAGGGGCTCTGGCCCTTCATGCCCACCAGTCAGCAAGGGCAGCCCTGTGCTGCTCTCCAGGAAATCCTCCAGGCGCCCAGGGAGGGAGGGCGAGCCTGGCGGAGGCAGGGCAGCCTGGGGGAGCTCAGCGGAGGGTGAGGGCTGTGCAGCCAGGGGGGACCCACGCGCTGCTGTCAAGGGTGGCTTCTCCTTCCCTGGCAGGGATGGTGTCTCCTTGAAATCTGCTGAAATTTCTGCCAATCAAGACAATGAATGGATGTCAGACACCAGGCCTGAATATCCATATGCAAAACAAAGAAGGTGGACCCTATGTCACACCACATACAAAAATAAAATGGCTCAAAGACTTAAATGTAGTAAGAGTTATAACTATAAAACTCTTAGAAAAGTCATAGGGGAAGATCTTTGTGACATTAGATTTGGCAATGATTTCTTGATTATGACAAACCAAAAGCACAGGAAGACAAATTAGACTATATCGAAATTTAAAACTTTTGTGCATCAAAAGACACTATTATGAGAATGAAAAGACAATCCACAGAATGGGAGAAAATACTTGCAAATCATATGTTGCATAAAGGATTGATATCCAAAATTTATAGAGAACTCAACAAAAACTTGATTCAAAATTGGGCAAAGGACTTGACATTTCTTAAAGAAAAGACACAAATAGCCAATAGCACATGAAAAGATGCTCAGCATCACCAGTCATTAGGGAAATGCAAATCAGGGCCACAATGAGAAAGCCCCTCACACCCATTAGGGATGGCTACTATCAAGAAAACAGGAAATAAGCTTTGGTGAGGACGCGGAGAAACAACCCTTGCACACTGTTGGTAGGAGAGATGCTCAGCATCACCAGTCATTAGGGAAATGCAAATCAGGGCCACAATGAGAAAGCCCCTCACACCCATTAGGGATGGCTACTATCAACAAAACAGGAAATAAGCTTTGGTGAGGACGCGGAGAAACAACCCTTGCACACTGTTGGTAGGAATGTAAAATGGTGCAGCCTCTGTGCAAACAGTATGGTGTTTCCTCAAAAAATTACAGTAGAATCACCAGCAATCCCACTTCTAGGTTTATGCCCAAAATAATGGAAAGCAGGGTCTCAAAGAGATCTTTGGACGTGATGACAGCAGCATTATTCACAATAGCTAAAGTGTGGAATCAACCTAAATGTGTATCAATGGATGAATCTGGAGGCCATTATGCTAAGTGAAATAAGCAGTCACAAAAGGACAAATACTGCATGATTCCACTTATATGAGGTAATCAGAGTAGCCAAAATCACAGACAGACAGGAGAATGGTGGTTTCCAGGACTAGGACAAGAGGGAATGGGGGTTATTGTTTAATTGGGTACAGAGTTTCAGTTTTACAAGATGAAAAGAGTGACGGATGGTGGTGATGGCTGCACAACATTACGAATGCATTTAATATCACTGAACTGTGCACTTAAACATGGTTAAGATGGTAAATTTTATGTGTATTTTACCATAATAAAAAAATTGGAAAAAAAAGTGGGCAAAGGACTCAGACGTTTCTCCAATAGAAGATACAAAAATGGCCAATAAGCACATAAAAAGATGCTCAAAATCATTAATCATTAGGGAAATGCAAATAAAAACCACAATGAGATACCACTTCACACCCATTAGGATGGCTATTATCAGAAAAATTAAAAATAGGAAGTGTTGGTAAGAAAGTGGCGACTGAAATCCTCATTCATTGCTGGGGTGAAGGTAAAATACAGCTGTAATGGAAACTGTTAGGCGATTCCTCAAAATGTTAACGGAATTGCCATTTGCTCCTGCAAGGCCATTCCTAGGTACGTACCTACACCCAAAGGATCTGAAAGCAGTGACTCAAACAGCTACTGCACGCCAGTGTTCGTAACAGTATTATTCTCAATAGCCAAGAAGTAGAAGCAACCCAGGTATCCATCAACAGATAAGTGGATAAACAAAGTATGACACAGGTATACAATGGAACATTATTTAGCTATAAAAAGGAAAGAAATTCTGACGCATGCTACAACATGGACGAACACTGAAAACATGCTAAATGACAGAAGCCAGACAAAAGGACAAAAATACTGTGTGACTCCACTTACATAAGGTACCTACAATAGGCAGATTCAGAGACAGAAAGTAGAATGGTGACTGCCAGGGGTGGCGGGGACAGGGGAATGAGGAGTCAGTGTCTAATGAGTACTGGAGTTTCTGTTTGGGATGATGAAATAGTTCTATAAATGGACAGTACTGATGGTGGCACAATGCTGTGAATGTACTTAATGCCACTGAATTGTACATTTTAAAATAGCAAGTTTTATGTACTTTTTACCACAATTAAGAAAAAAAAGAATTATGTAGAAACCTGGCTTGCTCCCTGACCCTCTAGGTCCCATACCCAGCTGAGCACATTCTTTCTTCATGGCTGCTCTCACCAGACAGGACCCTTGGCCTACCTGCCCACCTGCCACCACCTGCCCCATTCAAACAAACACCCTCATCTTCTGGCATCCTTGCCACCTCTCTGGTCACTTCTCAGTGTCCCTTTGGGGGCAGTCAGAACTCCCCCCCAATCTCCCTTTCTCTGCCATCCCGTAAATGATAGACTCCCTCCCCCTTCTCAAACAATCTCGCTTCTCCAGGGCAGCCCCCTCCCACGGTTTGTCCAGTCTGACACTGTTGGCTCCTGAAGCTCATGCCCAGGTCTCCCTCCTGTGCTCCAGACCAGCCTCCAGCTGCCTCCTGAGCTCCAGCCAGCGGTCCTCAGAGGGGGTCCCATGCCAGAAACCTCAGTGCCATCTGCACTGGTTAGACACACACCTCAGGCCCCACTGTAACCCTGGAGGTCCCCACTAAGGCTTGAGGATCACTGACATTGAGGGGAACATCAGCCACTGAAATAACACTGCCAGCTTTCAAGTGCATACTTCCAGACTGCTCACCTGCCCATCTCAGGTAACCCTCTTCCTACTGACAGAGGTAATGCACTCAGGACGGAACACACACACTCCCCACGTGGACCCACCGGCATCTGCAGCACACTCCGCCTTCTCACTGCTGCCATCAGCAAAGTCCCCACGTGCCTCTAGGAAGCCAACCCTTCTCCGGCGCTGGGCCCCTTTTCTTGAGTCCTCAGGGCTCTCACCCTCCACTGGACGGGTTCCTGGTCATGCAGACACGCTACGGGGTCTCCCACAGCTTGGCAAGGCCCCCTTTCGTTGCCTGGAAAGCTCTCCACACCTGCTGCCCCCTCACGTACTCCCCAGTTCTCCTCCGCCTGAGTCGCATGCTGTCCCCTGCCACACTCTAGGGGAGGGGGATCCCATCTAGGATGTCATGCTCTGCCCACTGCTCAGCCTCATCTGCTATTGTCCTTTTCCTCGAGGGCCACGGCCAGGGCTGTCACCTGTCCTCTACTCCACCACCCTCACTCCCAAACCTCATGTCCGTGACAGCCAATCTAG